AGGAGGAATTTCTCCCTGGAAAGGGTTGTCAGGCCTTGGCAGGGGCTGCCCAGGGAGGTTTGGAGTGCCCAGCCCTGGAGGTGCCCAAGGAAGGCCTGGCTGTGGCACTCAGAGCTCTGGGGACACGGTGGGCATCGGACACAGGGGGGACTTGATGATCCGGGAGGTCTTTTCCAGCCTCACTGATTCTGTGATCTGACCTTGGCAGCAAGGGGGGGAGAAGGGCATAATTTAATTTTTTGAGGCTCTTTGAAGTATTACAAACCATGCACACACAACATCACACCACACAGGGAGCACAGAGCAGCAAAGCCAGGCTGTGTCACGGCCCAACACCCCCTTACTGGCTGTGATGGGGCATCTCCACTGCTCTTCCATGAAAAGAAGCTCATGGGACCACTGCTTATAAAAGCACACAGGTTTATTGCATATCAATCTCATGTATAAATTCATTGTAGCATTGGAAAGATTACATTTGGTATACATTCCTATTCTACAGCATTAACCTCAAAATCAGCTTTTTCTATTCATTATTTTAAAGGAATTTCTCTACACAAGTACATTTGTCTTTTATCACAAGCATCAAAATGAAATTTGTAAAATCGCCTTTTTTTTTTTTAATTATTTTCTACACTTCATATCTTTTATTTCATTATGCTCCCAACAAAGCGATTCCATATTAATTAATAACTGCCAACACTTTTTCTTTCTTCCTTGGCAGTTCGAGGCTTCGAGCCTCGGACGCAAAATCTAATCACATATACAATAAGTGCATCTACGGAATTTTTTTCTTTTTAATAAAAATTTCACAAACAGACACAATAATGACTGCTAAACACAAGTCATGCACAGTTTACTTATAAACATAACAGAAGCAATATACAATCAAGAATGATATGGAACAAGCACCATCCTCTTTCTCAATGTTTTTTAAACATTATATGAAAACCAGACATTTACAATTGATTTAAAAAAACACTATACAGGTCTAAAGGAAAAAAAAAAATCCAACCTAAATCATATCTGTATTGTAACAATGGGAAAAGGAATGACATAGGATGCACAGATTTATGATTCTTGCAAGCACAATATATATATGTTTTAAATTACATCTTCTGCAGGCTGGAAATGACATCAGGGCAAAACATCTCTTGCTTTGAAGAGAGCAACGAGAATGTAAAATACACTGAGAATTACTTTCAGAATTACTTTGTTCACATGTGAATTGCACATTTGGAAATCAAAGCTGCCTTTTTTTTCTTTTTCATTCTTTTTTTTTTTTTTTCTTCCAAAGTGGTACTAAGAATTAATGACAGAAGAGAGAGAGAGAGAGAGAGAGAGAGAGAGAGAAAGAACCTCGGAATCATTCAAGAACGTTTTAGTCACAGTATCACTCAACACTACAGAGAAGTTTCATGGCTTTGTGAGAACACTACTGACCATGGGCGAGGAGCAGAGGGTTTTGCCCTTATGTGACCAGCGCTGACTCCTGCCCACGGGGCAGCGGCGGGCAGGGTCCCGCTCCCCTTCCCCGCCACACACACACACACACAATACAGCACGTAAAAAACCGAGTGTAAGTCAGCAGATTGACCCGGGCGGAGGGGAGGGGGCTCACGATCCAGTGCTTTGATGCTTTAGAGTCAAACGCGTCCATGTCTTTGTGCAAGTGCTTTCCGGGAGCGAGAACGTTCCCGGGAACGTCTACTGAGCGTCTAAGTGCTGATTCGGGAGAAATCAAAAGCTTCCTCTACACTGTTTTAAGCAGGACAGAACCCCGGCTGGGCGTTTGTCCCGGAGTGCAGCTCAGCAAACTCGGCTGGTGTTTGCTGTTCAGCCCTGTTCAGTTTGGGTTTGGGCAGCTCCCGTGGAGCCCTGCACAGCCACATCTCTGGGATGCCCTGTGAGGCAGGACCTGGCTGGCATGGGGACACCCTGCAAAGGCACCCACCCGGAGCAGCCTGTGCACCAAAGGGCACATCCCATGGAAGAACCTCAACACGTCCTGTGGGAGAGCCCGGTGCCTCGGCACATCCTGCAGGAGAACCCCCGTTCTCCCCACCAGCCACAGTGGTCACACCAGGACTGACCACCAGCAAGCAGGCAGCAGGGAACGGACAGACACCACACCCATGTCCACCAGCTCCAGCCCAGGCAGGAAGATCCACCTGTGGCCAAAGCAGAGGCCCTTTGTGGAGCACTGACGTTCCCTCCCTGCCGAGCAGGAGGGTGCAGCCAGCGGCTCCCGGCCTCTCCCGGCCACACCAAACACCCACAGGCCTTGCCCTTCTCTCCTCTGTGCTGTTGTGGCAATAAGGCCGTGGGATGTGAAGATACTTCAATAAGTAGGTCCTACAAAAAGCTCTGGTTTAAATCACACCTCGAGTGGTGCCCTGGCTATTGGACACGCCACCCCACATTCCCATCCCTGCCACCCTCACCTGCCCACATTGCACTGGGATCCTGGATCCTCACGTGTCCATGGCTCTGGACAGCCCTGAGCACCACAGCTCCACATCTCACCCAAGCTCCCAGACCTTCCCCACTGCTGGGAAGCCACCTGTGCCCTGATGGCAGAACGTCCTCGACACAAAACTCTCGGGAAACAGCCTTGAAAATATGGGATTCTTCCCTAAAGCAGCAAACTGAAACCTAAACACCTGCTGGGAACTGCAGCACATTTCAAGTGCAATCCAATGAAAGTGAAAGCTAAACAGAGGTTCAATGAGGCTTTCTGTTTCTTTATCTTAACCAGAAAATCAAAACTTGTAATCAGTGCTAAATTAGAGGAGTTGGGAGATCATACAACACACGGAGATATGAGCTAGAGAAAGTGGGGAGAAAACTGAATCAGAAAATATGAAAAGAAAAAAAAATAATTTCATGATTTTAAACCCTATATTTTAATGTCCTCAATCCCTGGCTGGATTGTACCTCCCCATCCCTGGCCAGCACCAGGAGCCCTCACTCCTGGAGGTCTGTGGAGAGCCAGGATCAGCCCCGGGAGGGGGACAGCGACAGCATGAGCTTGGTCAGAGCAAGGACCTGACAAACAGCTCTTGGAGAAACTACGCAACAGGGGGAAGGGCTGAGATGTGGACAGGAAGACCATAAATACCCCAAATAAATCCCCATGATAACTCTTGAATTTCTTGATACTTGGCCCACATTTTGGTGACCAGCTCACTGACACTCACTTGGCTGTTCCGTTCCCTCCTCGAGCTGCAGATCCCAACCCCCTCAAAGGACAGACAGAACATGGGATCTGAGCATGCAAACCCTGCTTACTGCCCACGGATCTTGTTCCAGCACAACAGGCAATGCCATGGGCCCTACCAGAGACATGCTCACACACTGTTTGCTCCAAGCAGTTGCCAAAATCCAAGGAGCTGCAAATCGGCTTCGTGCTGGAACAGGACAGGATGGATCTGTCCCCATGCTTACGGCCTTTTCCATGTTCTCCTGGAGCAGGGCCATCGAGGCAGAGCATCCCCACTGGCCTCCTCCTCCTCCTTCTGCACTGGGGGAGCTGGTGCTGGTTCCCAACCAGCCAAGGCCATCACTAGAACCTTCCTCCAACGCCCTGGGCACTTCAAGGCAAAGGGAACCCAAGGGGTGATTGTCTGGAGAATTGGCAGCACGACTGGCAGGACTGATCTGGGGGCATTTGGCACATGGACAAAATGTTCCTACTCCCTGGTTATCCATCATCCAACATCCAACCTTAACGACACGATTTTGGTCCTTCACTACATACTTATATTAACATCGTTTCTTCACAAGAATGATACCTAATGCAAAAAATACTGTTAAGGAAGAAATAAAATAAGAAAGGAATTAGCCCAAAATTACAAGTTATATACAGCTTAAAATAAATTCCATCAGGAAAAGAAACAATTCTTTTATTATTTTCAGTTGGCCCCTGTGGGAATAATTTAAAGGCCAAGTGCCTGGGCAGGGCTGTGCTGCAGCTGCCACAGTGGGGATAGGGTGGGATGGGATGGGATGGGACAGAGCTGTCCCTCCCCTCTGCAGAGCCAGGGTTCCTCTGACAGTGTTGGCTCTCGGGCTTCCCCTGCCCAAGAGCTTTGTGCAAATACATGAAGCAGTTCGGTTACACTGACTGGTGTTCTCAGGGCCTTGGGCACTTTCACAGGATGTTGTGGAAAACCAAAAAAAGGAGGATAAATTTTCTTGGGAAACATGCTGATGCTGCTAATTTACCTTTTGTTCCTTCTGTACCAAAGCCATCTTTGATGTTTTCCTCCGTGAACAGTCTGAGGCTCCCAGCTCCCCAAAAACAGCCTCAGGTGTGCTCTTGGGAGCAAAGCTGACCTTGCAAAGAGATCACTCCCCCCACCACCTCTGCTTTACTCAGGGAGGTGGATCCGTTGTTTTGGCATGATGGAATGAGGCTTCCCACTCTGGACTGGCTCAGAAACCTCCATCTGCCCTTTTCCATACTGAGCAGGCAGAGGGGCTGCAAGTGGCTTCCATAATCGTTCTGTAAATCAATGTTATCTCCAAATTCCCTGCTCCAACAGCAGACTGCAATTGCAATGGAGAACAGCAGAAAGCCCAGAGGATTTCTGGAGGCTGCTGTGTATCAGCAAAGGAGATGAGGCTTTGAAGCGATTTAAAATCACTCACAAAATATCTGTGAGCAACTTTAGGGTTGGAGAGACAACTCGATTCTTATCTCTGTGCCCGAGCAGAGCTCTGCACCCTCAGGCTGCTGGAGCACGGAAATGTTAATCTTTCTACTGAAATTACAGGCCAAGCAGCAGCAGGTGGTGCAGAGGCACCGTCCAACAGGCCAGAACAACGGTGTGAATCAGAGATCTCTGCCACAGCCCCAGGTACCATCAGCACGGAATGATGTCACCCAAAACCCCCGGGAGATGACACAGGAGAAGATGTGTCTGAGTTGCCCTCAGTGGGGTGAGACTCGCCCAGCACACGTTTCCTTGTGCACAGCCAGGGAAGGGCTCACCCTGGGACCTTTCTGCTTGGGGAATTCCAAGCATTGCCAGGAGCTCCATCACTCCCGAGTGCCACCACCACCACCGCCCTGGCTGGGCACGGCTCTGTCCCAGGCACTGTGACACTCCAGCCCGGGCACAGCTTGGGCTGGCAGCACTGGCAGGGACGGGGAGCCCTCTGCCCTCCCAGGCAGAGGGTGCTCAGGGCACAGCTGATGACCCACGTTGGTGTGACACGTCCACACACCGACCCCAGCAACGTTCCAGGCTGGAGATGTCCCAGCTGGGACCTGCACAGAGTGTAGGATGACTCCAGGCCTCACCTCCGAGGAGCTTTGTGCCGTGCCAATGTTTTGTTGGGAACAAAGGACAGGCTGGTATTTCTGTGGGAGCACAGATCTCTTTTGGGGGGTCAGTGAAATGGGATGAATTTCCCTTCCCTGGTATGACTCCAGTGACTGTGTCAGAATTGCACCAGGGACAGGCCAGCCCTGGCTCTCTTCCCTCAGTACTTCCCTGCTCATCTGGATGGGAAGGAAATGCTGCCGTGTGGTTCCGAGCTGCCGTTCCTGCTCAGGCTGGACTGGCTCAGTGACACTGCTTTGTAAGGTTGGAGGGGCCAATCTTTGATTGCACTGTTGCAATTCATGTCTTGCTCATGCTGTTCCTACAGACAGTGAAATCCTGGGGCTGCATCAGGGTTATCCAGTTTGGGAGAGGTTCATTCTGATAAATTAGAAAGGAAAACTCTGGATGGGTAAAAATGCAGGACGTGTGGGTCGGATGCGACAGGTTTCCTTCTCAGCCCAAAGTTCAGACGACTCCCTGAGGCCCTCTCATCCATCTTCTGCTCGCTGGGATTTTGCAAGGATAGCTGCAGCACCACTGCCGCCTCGCTTGGACTCTGGCCAGTGCCTGGAGGACCTCTCAGAGGTGGTTGATGGGGTTAAAGGTCCCCGACTCTGAAGCTGCTCCTGCCATGTCCAACCAAGCGCCCAGAGAGTTCTGGGAGGACGTGTGGAGGGGAGCGTTCTCAGACAGGGACAGCATCATTGCATAAGCCTGGGGGAGAGAGGAATGCAGAGGACACTGTGAACACCCCGCAGGACCCCGAACAGGGGGGGTGAGGCACAGCCCCAACCCCGCACACTGCGGCAGGCAGCACCCTCTGGCCTGGGCCATAAACCCCCATCCACACACCAGGATGGCCCCCACCACTCCAAAGACTCAGATTTGCCAGCGTTTGCAGGCAGCTGTAGGGATAGTCAGGAGAGACCATCATTCCCACTGGCCCTTACAGGCCCAAACCCATCTCGAGCCAGGTCCCATAAAGTGATTGCAGCCTCTGCTCCCAGGGAAAGACAGCTATTACTGGGGTTTGCTCTTACAACAAGTACATCCCCAGATAGGCCAGAGTCTCAGAGAGGCTGGGCTGGGGTGGGCACGAGCCCTGGAAATGGGGCAGCAATGCCCACAGGAGCAGCATCCTGGTGGGCACTGGTGGGCAGCTGCTCATCCCCACTCACTGCCTGGCATGAGCCCACTGGTGCCTGCAGACACCTGTACGGAGTTATTTGGGAACACAAAATGCTCTCTGGCACTACTGGTGTGTTCAGATGTTCTGTCAGGGTGGATTTATTGCTGCAGCTAAATGATTAAAGGTGTTTTCTGGGAGAAACACACCAAGACTTCTGCATGCACAACAACCACCTGGCTTCTTGGAACCTGGGTGCTCTCCCTCCTCCAGGACTGCTCATCTCACACACCTCTGTGTCCTTCCACAACCCACACAAGTGGTGTGAGGACTGAGGCCAATGATAACCTCACACACCAGAGGGGAAAGCCAATGTCGTTGTCACCCAGGAGAAAGAGGAGAACATAGTTGGTCCCCACCCTCCCTGGTCCAGGGCAGAGGAACAGCTTTGTGGTGCTGTGGACACACACACTTCTAAAACTGCTTAAAAGAAAGCCAAAGGAATGCTCTGCTGCTCACACAAATGTTGATTTACTTTTACATTTCCAGCACAAGATATGGTTTGAATTATTTAAGTTGCTTATTGTGATTCAAGTGTAAAACTGATTCAAAAACCAAAAATACCACCCCTCCCCAGTCAAGCACAGGCTGGCCCTAACAGTGTGATACACATTGGAAAAGAGCAGGTTGTTCCTAGAGTTAGTGCATTTGGGATATTAGTGACAGGACACATGTAAGAGTCTGGTAAGTGGCTTGTATTTAATTGAGTTTCACCTCCAAAAAAGCTCTGCTCAATCTTCCAGCAGACCCTCCCTCCCTCCTAACACCTGCTGTGAAGGGGGACAAGAATTTCACAAATTTTGGGTGATAAATCAAAAATCATGTTCTGCATGGCAGCACTAAACTACTGCTGTGCTGAATATTTGAAACAGATTTTATGATAAATTCTGTTGCTGAAAAACCAGAAAGAGCCTCTGAGGCCAGAGCTGGGCTCATCCCCTGCCAAGGGCTGAGTGTGCTCTCTCCAGTCCTTTTACATATGGTTTACTTTTAGAAATCAAGGAGATAAACAAGGAGACCCTCTAGACACGCTGGGCTGCAAGTCCTGGAAATGTTATTGTCTGTGACACCTTTTATAACCAAACCCAAGGGCATTTTGTTGCTGTTTCTGCAGAACAAACCTCGGTGTTTACAAACAGAAGACCCGTCTCAAAGTATAAATAAATAAAGAGCCACAGAAACATTTATACAGACAGATAAAAACAGACAAGATGCCTCTTTCTTCCTGTATAGCCACATTCTCACCACACGGGCTGAACAACAAATCCACCTGGTGCCCTAAAGGTGATGGCCAGTCCCTTCCTCTCTGTTTCAGTTGTTGCAACAGGACACAGTTCACTCACGATCCGTGTGTTAGAATTCCTGCTGGAAGGGGGAAATAAACCACTGCAGGGGGGAAATAACCCACTAGAAGGGGAAAACAACCCTTTGCTAGAGGAGGGCAGCTGCTCCCTAATCCTACTGTCCGTGCTGGCGGCAAGCTTGGAAAACGTTCTGCGTATACCCACCTGGTTTTTAGCCTGCCTGTACAGAGTCTGTTTTATTGTCTCAGAGTCTAAGGTGGAATTAAACACATCTTTAACTTCAAATGCTTCCTCGGCTGCTTTGCGAAGATCCAGCCCCTTCCCAAAATTCGGCATCTGCTCCAAATCTAACAGGGCGGCTTCGTCCTCCTCAATACACCTGTACCAATGACCAGGGGTGAGCCGGGTTAGCTCGGCTGGGCGCCCACCCCTCGCCCGGTGCCTGCATGCACAACCCACGGGGGTCACAGCCACATGCGAGAGCGGACGGACACACGGACACGGGAACCACACGGCATGGCAGGAGCAGAGAAGAAGTGGAGAGCAACAAGTGCTGCAGGTGTCTGAGGTTCTGCACCAAAACCAGAGGGGCACTGGGCTTGGGGAAGGTGGCACTTGGCATCCTGGCACGTCTGCTGCCACGAGGCAAAAAGAAGGCTGGGCCTGCACTGTGTGCAGGAAACTTGAATTTTAAAGCTGTCTAGGCATGGCTGACCTTGGGGAAAAGAAGTCTTCGCTTTTTATAGAATCATAGAATCACAGACTGGTTTGGGTTGGAAGGGACCTTAAAAATCACCCCATTTCACCCCCTGCCATGGGCAGGGACACCTTCCACCAGCCCAGGTTGCTCCAAGCCCTGTCCAACCTGGTCTTGAACACTTTCAGGGATGGGGCAGCCACAGCTTCTCTGGGCAACCTGTGCCAGGGCCTCCCCACCCTCTCAGGGAAGAACTTTTTCTTAATATCCAACCTAACTCTGCTCTCTGTAGGTGTGAAGACATTCCCCCTTGTCCAAGCCCTTATTAATAGTCTCTCTCCATCTTCCAGCTCCCTTCAGGTACTGGAAGGTTGCAGTTAAGTCACCCTGAAGCCCTCTCTTTTCCAGGCTGAACAATCCCCGTTCTCCCAGCCTGTCCTCATGGCAGAGCTGCTCCACCCTTCTAATCCACTTGGTGGCCTGCTCTGGACTCGCTCCAGCAGCTCCATGTCCAGGACCCCAGGGCTGGAGGCAGCTCTGCAGGGGGGTCTCACCTGAGGGGGCACAGGGGCAGAATCCCCTTTTTGCCAGAGCTCTGAGAGCTCCACTTGCAGTCAAGGATATTTTGCTGTGACTCAAAGGGCCAGAGCAGCACCAAAGGGATTGCACAGGCGCCACTTCCCTCGCCCTGGTCAGAGTTTTGGAGAGAAAGACAATATCTGCTGAGCTGTGGTGCCCTGGGTTTTGTGTGGGACTAACTGTTCTCCTGATCCAGGCTCCTGGAGCCTTGGACACACACCTCAGCCCAGACTCTCCTTGCAGTCCACTTGTTTCGTGTCCCCCACCATGGTGAAATGGAATCTCGGGTGAACGCTCAAATCAAACCGGAGGCATGAGAGACATGGCTTGGGAAAACAAACCACAGCACTGATGATCCACCACAGACACGGGGGCAGGGGCTGAGCCCCCTCTGGCCCCTCGAATGGAACAGCCCCCCCCTCACCTCCGGGTGTGGTCGAAGCTCATGGTGAGAGACGTGGGCTCCTCATCCTCCTCATCCTCAAACGCCCCTCGGGGCTCCGCCGTGGGCGACACCGGCTCGTCCTGGGACTTCCCCGTCAGGCTGTCGTCGTCCTCCTCTTCCAGTTCTTCATCTTCATCATCCACATCTTCTGTTTTCTCATTTGCTAATCCATGACACTGGGAATTGCCGTCAATATCCTGGATTTCTGGCCTGAAATATTTGGTCGGGGGGGGGAGGGAGAAGGAGAGAGGAAAGAAAAAAAAGGTGGCAAATGTGTAAGTCATGTACTTCTACTGCAATGCTTTGATAATATTATATATATATGTATGAACACAGAGACATATTTATATACATATATAGGTTATTTAAGACACAAGAAAAAGGAAAACCAACATGCCACAGGCACTTAAAAATCAGCCTTCACCATGTCTTAAGGGCCAGTAAGTATGGTAAGAATACACCAACCCCAAGGCTTTTCAAACTACAATAATGTCTACTCTGAATTTAAATGCTGGTTTTCAGTCTCTTAAAATATAACATCTGTGGGACAGGCAGCTTTCCTCCTTCTCTGTGCTGCTGTATTCCAACAATCTCCCTTTGAGCAATCAGGAGGAGGAAGCTTCTACCAACCAGCTTAAATTCTCTCTCATATTATTTTACTGTTTGTGCCTGTACTGTCACCAGATAATTCTATTTTCTACCTTTTATCTGCTAAAGTTGACGCTTGATTCATCTCACTATTTGCAATAAAATTTCTGATTTCAGAGAAATACGAATCCTCTTTTTCATCTAAAAGTGCATGGTTGTCTGATTCCGAGTTTGGGGAAGAGGCACTGGTCCCGAGGTGGTTGGTGATGACTCCAGAGTGCTGGCTCACTGTGGGGGAGAGACAAGGAGAGAACAGGAGACACCATCAGGTGTTGCCAAGGTCATCAGGAACAGGAAACATAAAGGAGGAACAGTCCCCTCACTAGATACTCATGAGTCAACAGTCAAGAGAAAACTCATGGCCCGAAGCTCCCAAAGGAAGTTTGTGTTTCCCAGACCTGAACTACAGAGACAAATACAGGGGATATTTAGCATTTATGGACAATACATACAATTTAAGAACCCTTATCCATTGCAGAGCTGTTTGCCTATAACTTTTCCATAATATTTTTTTTTTCACTATGCTGGGAAATCACTTCCTTGGTTTCAGCACAGGGATTTCCTCCTTCAGTTTTTATCTTAAGGCAAAGCCTTAATTACCTTCTCAAACTCCACACACCCCCCCACAAACCCAGTCTTAGGGAGCAGTGCACTCCAGAGAGGCTTCCCAAGGGCCAGAGGGAGACCAGCCCACGGTGTCCTGTCCCTGCAGTGCCCCGGGAGATCCACGGCCAGGTCCTGCCCTACCTGGCACGTTCTCGTGCTCGTGTTTCTTCAGGTGCCTGTCCAGGTTGGTTTGCTGCCCGAAGCACCTGTTGCACAGGTGACACTTGAATGGCTTCTCCTTGTTGTGGATGTTCCGGACGTGCCGCTGCAGGTTGGAGGAAATGCTGAACGACCTGTCACAGTATTTACACCTGAAAAACAGGAGCAAACGCCAAAGATTGCAGCGTGAGGGGGAAAAAAAAAAGAAAAAAAAAGAAAAAAAGAAAAATCTGACTATCAGAAAACCAGGGAATGTCGGTCTATAAATCACTACTCAGCTGAGGACATGGGAAGCACAAGGCATTAATCACTGCAGACAAATCTGATATTATTGTTACTCAAGGAGCACAAAGAAAGGGTTAGGATTAATTAGGAAGCAAGTCGTCCAAACAAATAAGGGTTTTAAACAAAGTAATTACTTTTCCACACATCAACGTTCAAATAAGAAAGGTGGATTTGTTCCTTCCAACCTTCCCGTTTTGGGAGGGATTAGGTGAAATATTGCTGTGGAGGGAGGACAAGGAAGAGGGAAGAAGAAAGAAGGGAGGTGAAATGTATAAAATAGTTATTAACAGGTGACAGTCTCAGCTGGCCACACAAAAAACTCCAGCTTTATTTGTGAAACTCCTTGTGGTGCTGGAGATCCAGGCCAAGGTAATAATGGCTATTCTTTCTGTACAATAGCTCCCAAGAAATACAACATAATTTCCTAACAGGATTTACTCCTACAGGTGAATATCTGGTTTAAGATGAAAAACTGGACCATAAGGAGTCAAGCTAGGATGTTCAGGGAAGCTGCTGAGGGAAGAAATATTCCCTCTTTGAGCTGAGTCCCTGCACGACCNGCCCTGGCTGGGCACGGCTCTGTCCCAGGCACTGTGACACTCCAGCCCGGGCACAGCTTGGGCTGGCAGCACTGGCAGGGATGGGGAGCCCTCTGCCCTCTCAGGCAGAGGGTGCTCAGGGCACAGCTGATGACCCACGTTGGTGTGACACGTCCACACACCGACCCCAGCAACGTTCCAGGCTGGAGATGTCCCAGCTGGGACCTGCACAGAGTGTAGGATGACTCCAGGCCTCACCTCCAAGGAGCTTTGTGCCGTGCCAATGTTTTGTTGGGAACAAAGGACAGGCTGGTATTTCTGTGGGAGCACAGATCTCTTTTGGGGGGTCAGTGAAATAGGATGAATTTCCCTTCCCTGGTATGACTCCAGTGACTGTGTCAGAATTGCACCAGGGACAGGCCAGCCCTGGCTCTCTTCCCTCAGTACTTCCCTGCTCATCTGGATGGGAAGGAAATGCTGCCGTGTGGTTCCGAGCTGCCGTTCCTGCTCAGGCTGGACTGGCTCAGTGACACTGCTTTGTAAGGTTGGAGGGGCCAATCTTTGATTGCACTGTTGCAATTCATGTCTTGCTCATGCTGTTCCTACAGACAGTGAAATCCTGGGGCTGCATCAGGGTTATCCAGTTTGGGAGAGGTTCATTCTGATAAATTAGAAAGGAAAACTCTGGATGGGTAAAAATGCAGGACGTGTGGGTCGGATGCGACAGGTTTCCTTCTCAGCCCAAAGTTCAGACGACTCCCTGAGGCCCTCTCATCCATCTTCTGCTCGCTGGGATTTTGCAAGGATAGCTGCAGCACCACTGCCGCCTCGCTTGGACTCTGGCCAGTGCCTGGAGGACCTCTCAGAGGTGGTTGATGGGGTTAAAGGTCCCCGACTCTGAAGCTGCTCCTGCCATGTCCAACCAAGCGCCCAGAGAGTTCTGGGAGGACGTGTGGAGGGGAGCGTTCTCAGACAGGGACAGCATCATTGCATAAGCCTGGGGGAGAGAGGAATGCAGAGGACACTGTGAACACCCCGCAGGACCCTGAACAGGGGGGGTGAGGCACAGCCCCAACCCCGCACATTGGGGCAGGCAGCACCCTCTGGCCTGGGCCATAAACCCCCATCCACACACCAGGATGGCCCCCACCACTCCAAAGACTCAGATTTGCCAGCGTTTGCAGGCAGCTGTAGGGATAGTCAGGAGAGACCATCATTCCCACTGGCCCTTACAGGCCCAAACCCATCTCGAGCCAGGTCCCACAAAGTGATTGCAGCCTCTGCTCCCAGGGAAAGACAGCTATTACTGGGGTTTGCTCTTACAACAAGTACATCCCCAGATAGGCCAGAGTCTCAGAGAGGCTGGGCTGGGGCAGGCATGAGCCCTGGAAATGGGGCAGCAATGCCCACAGGAGCAGCATCCTGGTGGGCAGCTGCTCATCCCCACTCACTGCCTGGCATGAGCCCACTGGTGCCTGCAGACATCTGTACAGAGCTATTAGGGAACACAAAATGCTCTCTGGCACTACTGGTGTGTTCAGATGTTCTGTCAGGGTGGATTTATTGCTGCAGCTAAATGATTAAAGGTGTTTTCTGGGAGAAACACACCAAGACTTCTGCATGCACAACAACCACCTGGCTTCTTGGAACCTGGGTGCTCTCCCTCCTCCAGGACTGCTCATCTCACACACCTCTGTGTCCTTCCACAACCCACACAAGTGGTGTGAGGACTGAGGCCAATGATACCTCACACACCAGAGGGGAAAGCCAATGTCATTGTCACCCAGGAGAAAGAGGAGAACATAGTTGGTCCCCACCCTCCCTGGTCCAGGGCAGAGGAACAGCTTTGTGGTGCTGTGGACACACACACTTCTAAAACTGCTTAAAAGAAAGCCAAAGGAATGCTCTGCTGCTCACACAAATGTTGGTTTACTCTTACATTTCCAGCACAAGATATGGTTTGAATTATTTAAGTTGCTTATTGTGATTCAAGTGTAAAACTGATTCAAAAACCAAAAATACCACCCCTCCCTAGTCAAGCACAGGCTGACCCTAACAGTGTGATACACATTGGAAAAGAGCAGGTTGTTCCTAGAGTTAGTGCATTTGGGATATTAGTGACAGGACACATGTAAGAGTCTGCAAGTGGCTTGTATTTAATTGAGTTTCACCCCCAAAAAAGCTCTGCTCAGTCTTCCAGCAGATCCTCCCTCCCTCCTAACACCTGTTGTGAAGGGGGACAAGAATTTCACAAATTTTGGGTGATAAATCAAAAATCGTGTTCTGCATGGCAGCACTAAACTACTGCTGTGCTGAATATTTGAAACAGATTTTATGATAAATTCTGTTGCTGGAAAATCAGAAAGGGCCTTCGAGGCCAGAGTTGGGCTCGTCCCCTGCCAAGGGCTGAGTGTGCTCTCTCCTGTCCTTTTACATATGGTTTACTTTTAGAAATCAAGGAGATAAACAAGGAGACCCTCTAGACACGCTGGGCTGCAAGTCCTGGAAATGTTATTGTCTGTGACACCTTTTATAACCAAACCCAAGGGCATTTTGTTGCTGTTTCTGCAGAACAAACCTCGGTGTTTACAAACAGAAGACCCGTCTCAAAGTATAAATAAATAAAGAGCCACAGAAACATTTATACAGACAGATAAAAACAGACAAGATGCCTCTTTCTTCCTGTATAGCCACATTCTCACCACACGGGCTGAACAACAAATCCACCTGGTGCCCTAAAGGTGATGGCCAGTCCCTTCCTCTCTGTTTCAGTTGTTGCAACAGGACACAGTTCACTCACAATCCGTGTGTTAGAATTCCTGCTGGAAGGGGGAAATAAACCACTGCAGGGGGGAAATAACCCACTAGAAGGGGGAAACAACCCTTTGCTAGAGGAGGGCAGCTGCTCCCTAATCCTACTGTCCGTGCTGGCGGCAAGCTTGGAAAACGTTCTGTGTATACCCACCTGGTTTTTAGCCTGCCTGTACAGAGTCTGTTTTATTGTCTCAGAGTCTAAGGTGGAATTAAACACATCTTTAACTTCAAATGCTTCCTCGGCTGCTTTGCGAAGATCCAGCCCCTTCCCAAAATTCGGCATCTGCTCCAAATCTAACAGGGCGGCTTCGTCCTCCTCAATACACCTGTACCAATGACCAGGGGTGAGCCGGGTTAGCTCGGCTGGGCGCCCACCCCTCGCCCGGTGCCTGCATGCACAACCCACGGGGGTCACAGCCACATGCGAGAGCGGACGGACACACGGACACGGGAACCACACGGCATGGCAGGAGCAGAGAAGAAGTGGAGAGCAACAAGTGCTGCAGGTGTCTGAGGTTCTGCACCAAAACCAGAGGGGCACTGGGCTTGGGGAAGGTGGCACTTGGCATCCTGGCACGTCTGCTGCCACGAGGCAAAAAGAAGGCTGGGCCTGCACTGTGTGCAGGAAACTTGAATTTTAAAGCTGTCTAGGCATGGCTGACCTTGGGGAAAAGAAGTCTTCGCTTTTTATAGAATCACAGAATCACAGACTGGTTTGGGTTGGAAGGGACCTTAAAAATCACCCCATTTCACCCCCTGCCATGGGCAGGGACACCTTCCACCAGCCCAGGTTGCTCCAAGCCCTGTCCAACCTGGTCTTGAACACTTTCAGGGATGGGGCAGCCACAGCTTCTCTGGGCAACCTGTGCCAGGGCCTCCCCACCCTCTCAGGGAAGAACTTTTTCTTAATATCCAACCTAACTCTGCTCTCTGTAGGTGTGAAGACATTCCCCCTTGTCCAAGCCCTTATTAATAGTCTCTCTCCATCTTCCAGCTCCCTTCAGGTACTGGAAGGTTGCAGTTAAGTCACCCTGAAGCCCTCTCTTTTCCAGGCTGAACAATCCCCGTTCTCCCAGCCTGTCTTCATGGCAGAGCTGCTCCACCCTTCTAATCCACTTGGTGGCCTGCTCTGGACTCGCTCCAGCAGCTCCATGTCCAGGACCCCAGGGCTGGAGGCAGCTCTGCAGGGGGGTCTCACCTGAGGGGGCACAGGGGCAGAATCCCCTTTTTGCCAGAGCTCTGAGAGCTCCACTTGCAGTCAAGGATATTTTGCTGTGACTCAAAGGGCCAGAGCAGCACCAAAGGGATTGCACAGGCGCCACTTCCCTCGCCCTGGCCAGAGTTTTGGAGAGAAAGACAATATCTGCTGAGCTGTGGTGCCCTGGGTTTTGTGTGGGACTAACTGTTCTCCTGATCCAGGCTCCTGGAGCCTTGGACACACACCTCAGCCCAGACTCTCCTTGCAGTCCACTTGTTTCGTGTCCCCCACCATGGTGAAATGGAATCTCGGGTGAACGCTCAAATCAAACCGGAGGCATGAGAGACATGGCTCGGGAAAACAAACCACAGCACTGATGATCCACCACAGACACGGGGGCAGGGGCTGAGCCCCCTCTGGCCCCTCGAATGGAACAGCCCCCCCCTCACCTCCGGGTGTGGTCGAAGCTCATGGTGAGAGACGTGGGCTCCTCATCCTCCTCATCCTCAAACGCCCCTCGGGGCTCCGCCGTGGGCGACACCGGCTCGTCCTGGGACTTCCCCGTCAGGCTGTCGTCGTCCTCCTCTTCCAGTTCTTCATCTTCATCATCCACATCTTCTGTTTTCTCATTTGCTAATCCATGACACTGGGAATTGCCATCAATATCCTGGATTTCTGGCCTGAAATATTTGGTCGGGGGGGGGAGGGAGAAGGAGAGAGCAAAGAAAAAAAAGGTGGCAAATGTGTAAGTCATGTACTTCTACTGCAATGCTTTGATAATATTATATATATATGTATGAACACAGAGACATATTTATATACATATATAGGTTATTTAAGACACAAGAAAAAGGAAAACCAACATGCCACAGGCACTTAAAAATCAGCCTTCACCATGTCTTAAGGGCCAGTAAGTATGGTAAGAATACACCAACCCCAAGGCTTTTCAAACTACAATAATGTCTACTCTGAATTTAAATGCTGGTTTTCAGTCTCTTAAAATATAACATCTGTGGGACAGGCAGCTTTCCTCCTTCTCTGTGCTGCTGTATTCCAACAATCTCCCTTTGAGCAATCAGGAGGAGGAAGCTTCTACCAACCAGCTTAAATTCTCTCTCATATTATTTTACTGTTTGTGCCTGTACTGTCACCAGATAATTCTATTTTCTACCTTTTATCTGCTAAAGTTGATGCTTGATTCATCTCACTATTTGCAATAAAATTTCTGATTTCAGAGAAATACGAATCCTCTTTTTCATCTAAAAGTGCATGGTTGTCTGATTCCGAGTTTGGGGAAGAGGCACTGGTCCCGAGGTGGTTGGTGATGACTCCAGAGTGCTGGCTCACTGTGGGGGAGAGACAAGGAGAGAACAGGAGACACCATCAGGTGTTGCCAAGGCCATCAGGAACAGGAAACATAAAGGAGGAACAGTCCCCTCACTAGATACTCATGAGTCAACAGTCAAGAGAAAACTCATGGCCCGAAGCTCCCAAAGGAAGTTTGTGTTTCCCAGACCTGAACTACAGAGACAAATACAGGGGATATTTAGCATTTATGGACAATACATACAATTTAAGAACCCTTATCCATTGCAGAGCTGTTTGCCTATAACTTTTCCATAATATTTTTTTTTTTCACTATGCTGGGAAATCACTTCCTTGGTTTCAGCACAGGGATTTCCTCCTTCAGTTTTTATCTTAAGGCAAAGCCTTAATTACCTTCTCAAACTCCACACACCCCCACAAACCCAGCCTTAGGGAACAGTGCACTCCAGAGAGGCTTCCCAAGGGCCAGAGGGAGACCAGCCCACACTGTCCTGTCCCTGCAGTGCCCCGGGAGATCCACGGCCAGGTCCTGCCCTACCTGGCACGTTCTCGTGCTCGTGTTTCTTCAGGTGCCTGTCCAGGTTGGTTTGCTGCCCGAAGCACCTGTTGCACAGGTGACACTTGAATGGCTTCTCCTTGTTGTGGATGTTCCGGACGTGCCGCTGCAGGTTGGAGGAAATGCTGAACGACCTGTCACAGTATTTACACCTGAAAAACAGGAGCAAACGCCAAAGATTGCAGTGTGAGGGGGAAAAAAAAGAAAAAAAAAGAAAAAAAGAAAAATCTGACTATCAGAAAACCAGGGAATGTTGGTCTATAAATCATTACTCAGCTGAGGACATGGGAAGCACAAGGCATTAATCACTGCAGACAAATCTGATATTATTGTTACTCAAGGAGCACAAAGAAAGGGTTAGGATTAATTAGGAAGCAAGTCGTCCAAACAAATAAGGGCTTTAAACAAAGTAATTACTTTTCCACACATCAACGTTCAAATAAGAAAGGTGGATTTGTTCCTTCCAACCTTCCCGTTTTGGGAGGGATTAGGTGAAATATTGCTGTGGAGGGAGGACAAGGAAGAGGGAAGAAGAAAGAAAGGAGGTGAAATGTATAAAATAGTTATTAACAGGTGACAGTCAGCTGGCCACACAAAAAACTCCAGCTTTATTTGTGAAACTCCTTGTGGTGCTGGAGATCCAGGCCATAGAGTGTGTCTTTAAAGGAATAATGGCTATTCTTTCTGTACAATAGCTCCCAAGAAATACAACATAATTTCCTAACAGGATTTACTCCTACAGGTGAATATCTGGTTTAAGATGAAAAACTGGACCATAAGGAGTCAAGCTAGGATGTTCAGGGAAGCTGCTGAGGGAAGAAATATTCCCTCTTTGAGCTGAGTCCCTGCACGACCCGTGGCAGACGGGTTGGGGGCCTGTTCAAAGTGGTCACCCTCCTTTCCGGATTCAGATTCCCTCCAAAAAACCCAAGGATTTGCTCAGGCTGGTGCTGTGGGCTCCAACGGACTGAAGAGGGCAGCTTCGAGCCGCACTGCAGAGTTTTGGGTGCCTCATTCCCCTCGGAACCCGCCGAATCCCTCCTTAGGTCTCTCCCGTAAATACATCCCTCGGAACTCAGCAAAGCTGCTTCTCTCGTGGCTCTGCTTCCACACCCACGAGCAGCAGAATCTCTCTCTGCTGCAACCCTCCACAAATCCCGGACACTCACGGGACAAAATCCAGACTGCTCCCAAGCCCTTGTAATTCCAGGACAAATCCACTCAGTTCAGCAGGACTGCTCCGAGCTCCTCCAGCCCAGAGCAACCTCTGCCCTGCTCAGCTGAGCTACTCCTCCACAAGACTCCAAGAATCCCCCCAAAGTCTGGGCTGGAAAGTCCCAAGACATGGAGATGGAGAGGGATCCACACAGGTTTTGGGAAGAGCAGCAGCTCCTGATGTGCTCAGGGCACCCAGACTCACCCCGTGCCAGCCTCACTCGAGGATGAAACTGGATTTCCCTGGACATTTAGGACACGGGATTCCTCCCTACAGACACAACAGGTTTAACTGCAAGTGTAAAAAAGTCTTGGCTGTGAAACACCCCCCCATTTCCAGATGTGCTCCAGCTGTGATTTTTATTTGGCCTCCAAAAATAAATTGATTATTATTTTTGGAAATAGCAGGGATACATTTATGAAACACTCTCTCTCGCTGAATGTTTATGGATTCCATGTCCACCTCTGAATTTCCTACTGCTAAACCTCCAGAAAGAATAAAGATATTTCAAATAATGAACCTTTATTAGGATTAACCAAGGAAGAAAGCAAAATCTCTTTTTAAACCACAGCTTTTTCAGACTTCTAAAGTCTTTCCTTTTCATTCTTTCAAAAACCCCTAAACAACCCCAGAAAACATTACTTGAACATCAGCAAGAACAAGCACAGTTTCTACACGGGGAGTTAAACACAGACTTCCAGCACCAAGGACCCTGCTCCCAGGAGCTACCAGGCTTCAGCAGCTCCTCCTGCTCAGCCCTTCAGAAAGCTGTGACGTCCAGAACAGCCAATACCCCCAAATTCCTGCTATTCCATGGGATTTTCACAAGTAGTTTTGTCCAGCTCACCCCTGCTGGTGCCAGTGGTTTTCCCTTCCTGCCCATCTGCACCATCTCTGTGCCCTCCTGAGCCAAACTCAGCTCTGTGTGTGTGTCCCAGTGCCTGGCACAGGATACCTGGCACAGAGGGCACCAGGGCTGCCCAGGTACCCAGCCTGGCTCTCCCTGAGTCCCTCCCAGGAGCAGCTCCAGCTGGTTCAGAGGCAGCTCTCCCATGGGCAGGGCAGGAGAGCTCCAGCCCCCTCCGTGTCCATTTATTTAGATGTCCAGGAAGTCTTTGAAAAGTTCCCTCTGACAGGTCCTCGCTCTCACAACGAGCTGTGTGCAGCCAGGGCAGGGCGTGGAGACAGGATGAAGAGCTTGTTAAAGAAATAGGAACCAGAGGGCCATGGGGAAGGAGCAGCTAATGCCTGGGAGCAAAGGGATGAGGGAGATGTCCGGCGTTATTTGTGGTCCCAGGGGGGTCAGTGCTTGGAACTCTGCTGGTTTTAATCTAAATAAATGACCCAGACAGAGGAACCAGCTTAAATTCAGGGGAGGGGTGAACAGGGAGGCAGGAGAAAAGTAACACTCAAAGGCAGCAGTATTTGCTTTGCAAACACACTGACAGGACACCAGCAAAGCTTCTCCCTTATCAGCTTAAAGTAACACAGCAATGGGCTAAAAACATCTAAAGTGGGAGTGAGTGACAGCAAAGATGGAGCTGGGGGGCTCTGAGGAACCCCAGACAACCCCTGGAGCTGGAGCTGGGGGGCTCTGAGGAACCCCAGACAATCCCTGGAGCTGGAGCTGGGGGGCTCTGAGGAACCCCAGACAACCCCTGGAGCTGGAGCTGGGGGGCTCTGAGGAACCCCAGACAATCCCTGGAGCTGGAGGTACCCGGGATAACACGGGTGGAGGGGGAAAACAGGGAGCAAACCCCGGGGATGTGGGAAGGACACAATGGCAGTTTTACACAGATTTGCTGATCAGTGTGAGCTGGAAAGGCAGAACTGCAGTGAAAAAGCACAAAACACACAGACAGCAACTCCTCCTCAGCCCCAAGAGCATTTATAGCAGGGATGAACTTAGGCTGCATTTTAAACACCAGGAAATGAGGAATATCTTCAATAAAGACATTTATTGAACTACATATGATCTGAAACGACGTGGCAGACGTCAGCTTTAGTTGACAGTTTCAGCCTAATGCAAATAACAGGGCACAAGACCCACAAGGGCCTTATGACTGGATTTTGAAATAACCTACTCCTGAATTTTAGATTTGGTGCAAACAAAAGAGTGAGAAGAAACATTGAATTTCACTGTAGGGCACAGGGGCTCGGAGTCTTTTCAAATCAGCTGATTTTTAGGAAGTGCCTTGGCAGGTATTTCTCACTGTTCAAAAAACGTGTTTCACTTTCCCTTAAAAAAAATAATTTCCTCCTTATTGTTCCTGTGCTAGTAATTTGTACTTTATACATAATTAAACAGACATCTAGGAGGTTTAAGTGACTTGATAAAAATGCTCATCTTGGTAAAAACTCTTGGTAAAATAATTTTTCACTGAAAATCAGGAATTGAAACCAAAGCACTTTATTTTCTGGTCTTTTTCTTAATCTCCACGTGAACATCTGGTCAGTTTATATTGACTTTAAGAACACTTAAACTGATATTTGAATTAATATATAGCACTGACAGAATCAAAAGGAAAAGCATTTAAACAGTCAAAAGCAGAGTTACCAGGGAGACATCAGTAAACCCTCCTTTTACCTGCATGAAGTCAATACTTAAAAAAAACAAGCTTTGCAAACAATTCTTGCTGCCAAAGCTGCAAATCTCATTTCTCTGAGAGCAAAAAGCAAATCAATGATAATTAAAGCTCCTCTGCAAAGGCAGCTCCGACCCTCCGGAGTGCTGTTAGACAGCAACACTGTCCAGGAGTCAGACCTCGAAAAAAACCCACCCAGGCCATTTTCTGGGAGAAGACCAGATCAAATAAATCTTTATTTTCCTAACCTTTGTTAAGTTGCAAGTCTCCTTTTTTGGAAGAAAACCGAACTAACAATCCCCGAATAATCGGGAGCGAGCGTTTCAGTGCCCAGGGAACACACAGAGCCCACTCCTCGTATCAAACACCACAGCCCCAAACACCACAGCAGGGACTGGGTCCAAAATACATGTCTGCTTTGGAAGGGGGGGTATTTTTAATTTACCTAACGTCTCCTCAAAATTCTGTATGGAAAATAAACGTGGCTCCGCACGTAGCGGCGACTACAATGCGGGAGAGTTGCCTCTTGAGTCAAACTGAGCATAAAAGTGTGATGTATTTGCTGCTTATAAATTTGTGTTTCTCTTCATACAGTAACTGCCACATTGGCTTTGTTGTGAACTTCTGGCTGGGCATGGAAACGCTGCAGTATCAGCTGCCCAAAACGAAACCGAATTATTACTGTTGTTTGACAACGTGCAAAACGCTCACTCACATCATGGAAAACAGAATGCTTGACTTGCAGCGAGCTCTCAATTCATCTCTCCTTCAGGTTTGCTCATATATGGACCCGATTCTAACAAGAAAGTGTATTTTTTCTGAAGTTTTTTTTGAAACCGCCTGCAAAGGGCTGGGAGAAAATACTGGGGGGGAAGATCCCTGCTTGGTCTTCCATGAGAAATAGTCATTTATACACCTACACACACATACTATGCATATTTTCTTGTGAGTTTTATTCAATTTAAAGCCCTGAGTTAAACAGGAGCCCCTTTCTGAGCCACAGTACCAGCATGTGCTGGGATGGGACACTGTGCCTGCTCTCCAGAGGGAGAGTCTGTCCCTGTGCACACCCCCTGCACAGTGAGGGGTCACAATCACACCACCTTGTCCACAACTAGCAGTAAATAGTCCAGTTTTCTACCTAAAACACCCACTGAACGTGTGAGACTGTTTGTGAATCCCCCCCTCCCATCAGTCCCTTTAAACTTCGTGATTTAAGGTCAGACACTGCCAAACCTCGATTTTAAAGCAGATAATTCTATAGGGTTTCTCTTCTCCTTTGTTTTTTTGATCCACTGCTCCAGGCACCTCTGATATACATCAGAAAAGTTAAAAAAAAAAATCCAGCCAGCCCCAGCAGTGAAGGTCCTGGCAAGCCCTTCAAACCAGCCTGAATTTCAGAGCCATTCAGCACCTTCAGCTGTCCTTGAGATGAATGGTTAACGTGAGTGTGAAACAACACTGCAAATCAGAGCCCTCGTTTGCCAGCATACATCTAAATATAAGTTAAGTGTCTATCTTCAGGCTGCCAAGCCTGATTATTTTTGGCTGGTACACATAATATACAACACTATGAATCACTCTGTGTAATGCTCCAGGCCCGTGGTGTTCTGCTGGCACAGCTTTATGGAGAGGGGGAGCAATCCTGGCGTGGGGAGCGAGGGGGGTTTGGAAGGGGCTGTCCCGGGCCCAGCTCACCTGTAGGGCTGTTCCCCCGTGTGTGTCCGCAGGTGCCGCGTCAGGTTCGCTGAGCGGGGGAAGATCTTACCACAGTACCTGGGGAGAGACAGCCAAGGGAACCATCAGGGCAGGAGCCACAGCACAGCACACCACATCCACCTCACCCACCATCACACCGCCCCCAAATCCCTCAGGGCACTCCCAGCTCCCTCCCGGACTGAGGGGGGAAGATGTGCAGGTCAAAACCCACCCCAGAATAACAGGGGTCACAGAGGTGACGTGGGAGCACAGTCTGATGGGGAGCTGGGGGGGCTCAACCTGGAGAAAAGGAGGCTCAGGGGGGACCTTCTGGCTCTGCAACTCCCTGACAGGAGGGGGGAGCCAGGGAGGGTCAGGCTCTGCTCCCAGGGAACAAGGGACAGGAGGAGAGGGAACGGCCTCAAGCTGTGCCAGGGGAGGCTCAGGTTGGAGATCAGGAGGAATGTCTTCACAGAAATGGTTGTCAGGCATTAGAATGGGATGCCCAGGGCTGTGGTGGAGTCCCCAGCCCTGGAAGTGCTCAAGGAATGTGTGGACATGGCACTTGAGGACATGGTTTAACTACAGCGTTCCTTCACCAGGATACAGGGGGTCTATTCCCTGCCTGGTCATCCTGTCAGGTCAGATGTTTATAGATGTCCTTTAGAGCCCTGTTTACTTCCTCATCATACAGAATCTGCTCCAGCACCCTTGGAATTCACAGCATTTTCTCCTGGATAAAGGCTGCAGTGCTGGGTTATGGGGCTGACGAGCTGCTTAGAGCAAGGAGATGCAGCAACAGGAAATTAATAAAGGAAGGAACTGTGTTCCCCAATAAATCCAGTTCACAGTAAACTCAAAAGGTATAAATAAAAATACTAACTGGGAAATAAAATACTAAGGATGAGGGGTTGCACTCTGTGACTCTGTTGTAGGAGGAAGCTTTGAGCAGACTCTCTTAATTTCAGACACATTCAGCACCCTCAGATGTCCTGAGGATAAACAGTTCATGTGAATGTTCCTCAACAACCAAAACACAAATGGTAACTCCTGAGTGTGTATCTAAATTTTAGTCCCCATTGTAAGTAAACTCCTCCAATTTCTAAATACTCAGCTGAAATTTGAGCCTGCAGCTTTTGTGGCAGAGCTGCACGTAAGAGATACATCAACCAAAGCATGTGCCCGTTTCTGCACCCAAAAAACCTCAGCAGGAGCCACCATGAGACCCTCGAGGAGTTGCAGGTACAACAGAGACAGAGGTTTATTATTAAAAATCAGTAACTTGCTCCAAGAGGAGCTGTTGGAGCTGGGATGGGCACTCGAGGACTTCTGGGGGTGCAAGTGTGTTTGAAGAAGTTGTTTCCTGCATCCATTGTTTGCAATGCCCTCATTTTGCACAGCTGAGATGGACACGGCTGAGATGGACACAGGTGAGATGGACACAGTTGAGATGGACAGAGCAGAGATAGACACAGGTGAGATGGACACAGGTGAGATGGACACAGGTGAGATGGACAGAGCAGAGATGGACACAGCTGAGATGGACATGGCTGAGGCCGTGCTGGCCTTGGGAACCACAGCACTCACTGCCACACACCAGGGCCTTGGCCTGGGGAGCTGGGCCCGCCTGAGAATGTCCAGATCCGCTCTCAGGGTTATTAAAAATGACAAAGCAAACAGAAGATGCTGATTTCCTCCCAGACAAAACAAGCTATTTCAGAGGGGATTAGTCATCCCAACGCTCTGCGCTAATTCTGCTGCTCCTCGGTTCCCCTCCCGCCCCCGTGGAGGCAGCGGAGATATCCCTGGTCCCTTGTGGTGCCCCAGCCTGGGGGCATCTCCCGGGCTGCCCCCATGCCCTGGGGATGCTCTGGCTGCCCGGGGTGCCCATCCCTCACCTGCAGGTGTAGCGTTCCTTGCCCTTGCGCAGGATGGGGTCGGACAACGTGGGCGGCGGCGATCGGAAGTTGAAGGGGTGGTGGGGAAGGGGCTGCAGGGACGTGCCAGTGTCTGCCTTCATGGCTGCAAAGCTCTCCAGTTTCTCCGTCATGGTTTCGATGGCTGACATCTGCAAGGACAAGGCGAGACCTCGTGTCACAAAAACCCACGGGAAGAGCAGGAGCTGCTGCACAAAACGCGACTCTCAGCTCCAGAGGGTCAGAGCTTGTTGCTGATGTTTGCTCTCACTCTTGGAAGCTGCACAGTGGGAAATGGAGCCACTGATCCCAGCCAGGGAAGACAGGAACAGTGTACTGGTCTTGGAGAAATCAGGAAAGACACAAATGGCCAAGCCAGGACTTCAGATCCCAGAAATCAGCACTTGTTCACCTTCTGCAATGTGCCTGTGCTCGCTTTTAGCATTTCAGAGTAAAAGTTCTCTCAGAATATGCCTGTTTGCCCTTTTTCCAGGAATAAAACTGAAACTAAGCACCGTGGTCAGATGCCAGAGGTACAGCTCATCACCCAAATTCTCCTCTCAAACCCAAATCCAAGCCTTGGGAAGCAGGGAGGTCTGATGTCTCCTACAGCATCTCTGCCCTCCCAGGGGCTCAGTGAGCTGTGGGGGAGCAGAAGGGACACGACCCCAGGTGTGAGGGGACAGAGAAGTTTTAGGCAGGAGGCAGAAGAATTCAGGCCAAAGTGGAGTGGGAGGGGTGTGTGATGGCTGCTCAGGGAGCTGAGAGAGGACAGGCTGAGGCTGAAGGGGTGAAAAGGGAGCAGCTGGGAAGAGGAGGAGTTAGGATCAGGCTCAGGATGATGTGGGTCCCCTGAGAGTTTGCCTAGCAAAGAGGCCAACACTTTAATTACATGTAGGAAAGGTTCAGCAGCCAGTAAAGGTGATGGAAGGATGGGTGGGAGGTGGCTGAGCTTCCTGCAGTGAAAGGGAACTCCAGCCAAGGCCCTGGATGTGAGCTGTGGCTGGGTGAGTTACAGTCAGCAGGACCAACAGCTACACATCCTGCTGGGATGGGAGCAGCTGGCATGCTGGCCTGGGGATGGGACACTGAGGAAAATGCCCCTGGGTGCCTTTAGCAGGCTTAGTTTGTATGACTTTGCAACAGCTGTGTGCTCACCTAAACACTGGAGTAAACATCACACCTGAAAAAGGGAGAAAGGGAAAAAGCTGGAAATACAGGAGAAGGGGAAAACAAAAAAAGGAAAGAAAAAAGTTGGCCTATGTGGGGAAAAAAAAAATGGATTTGCATAAAAATCCTACCTAAAGAAAAGCACTTTTACTTTCACTGGAGCAAAACTGGAAATCCAAAAGCCAAGAGAGAGAAGTGCAGCTCGGAGGACGACGCTGACATCTCCAAAATCCAACTTCGTGCTCTCCTGAGAGCGCTTTCGAGATACCAAGAGCAGAAAAGAGGGATAAAACAAACAAGGCAGCAATAAAGCTGCCTCCTGGCTGTGCTGACATCCCCGGGAGCAGGGGGGGAGCGGGGCTGGCTGCAGAGGGGGGCGGAAGGCAGTAGGAAGCCATTTATCACCAGGAGATGCTCTATTGTACAGGAAGGGCTGACCTTTTGCACGTTTACACTTTATTAAACTGGGCTGGGGGGGGGGAGAGGGGGAAGAGAGCCAAGATATTGTTTAAAAATATACGACTATTAAAAAAAAAAAGTTGTCTTAATCTCCCAAGAATACATTGTGGAAATCTGACAGCCATTCATAAGCTGCAAAACAAGAGGAGTAGTAACCCCCATTCCCTGATAATAGATCCACGGCCCCTTGGTTGGAGGCTCCCAGCCCATGCTAAATTGTAAGTAATACTTAGCACCAGCCACTTGAAAAGGTTACTTGATCATTTACAGCACCAGCCCTGCCCCAGCTGCCAGTCATGGAACAAAACCATCACGTTAAAATGCTCTCTGGACCTTTCAGAGCCCTGCACTCAGCCCTTCGCCGGGGTACCTGGAGCTACCCTTTGTTGTGCCCTGTTCTTTAGGCACTTAGTCAGAGATGTTTGCTGCCTTCAGAGCCGTAGGCTGGTTTTAAAATTCTAAACATTGGCCACGGCCTCTCCAGTGGCAAAGGCACTTTGCTATTTAGGGAACAACTGCCTGGTTATAATAAAGAAGAAAGGGAGAAGAAAAGAAACATTAACAGGTGAGAAAAGGTCCTCCATTAAGTTATCAAAAAGTTACACTGGCTATTTATGCTGTCCAGAGTTTAATTTGGAATAGACAATGTGGGAAAACTCCCAGAGAGCAGAGGAACTTCTGCCAACGACTGGCTGAAAAATAAGAGCTGCCTGAAATTCATTGTGAGAGAGAAAACGTCTTCTGAACACTTTTATCACATTTTCTGCTTCCTCCCATCCCACTGAGGGCTCTGTGAGAGCTGAGGGATGAGTCACAGAGGAAAGGGCTGAGGCCAGACTCATGTTTAGAGGGAGAGAAGACCAGGTGGATCCAAGATCTTTTCCTAAGGATCTAGGATTTTAGGAATCTAGGATCCAGGAAGGTGGTGGTCAGGGCCCCAAGGCTGCCAGAGCTCAAGGAGTGTTTGGACAACACTCTCAGGCACAGAGTGGGATTCTTGGGGTGTCTGTGCAGGGCCAGGAGTAGGACTCGATGATCCTTGTGAGTCCCTTCCAACTCATGATATTCCATGATAACACTGGAAGGGGATCTGATAGTAAAAATCTCACATATTCTGGAACAAATGACCCGCCTTCCTGTGCTGTATTTGAGCTCCCTGATGGGCTGCAGCATGGGAACAGCAGCTCTCCAGACCCAGGGATCTGTACCCAGCACAGGCTTCATTAGAACCAGTTATCAGGAAGTTTTGGGCCCGAGTGATTGTAAATTTTGGGCTATTCTGTGTGATAAGCTGCTAGAGATAACCAGACCTTCCACATCTTTTCATCGCCATGGGAAGAGGACGTGGTCAGGATTTCGGGAACAATGTTAACAACCTTCCACCCAAAGCTTTGCTCCTGCTCAGGCTCTGGACGTTTCTCATCGTCTCGTTGGTTTGCTTTGCCACGCTGGCTCCTCCCTGCTATCAGATTCTTTACAGGCAGATATCCCCACTATTCTAACTCACACAAACACAGGATGTTCCTGGCCAGCCTGTCACCATTATCCAGCCTGGATGAAGGAAAAATCGGGGGAAGTTATTAACCAAACTCTGAGGCTGGTGCGAAACAATGAGGGAACTAAGTTTAGCTGTGAAAGCAACCAGGATCCAGCTTTCACAAACCTGCAAGTTATTTATCTAAGGTGGGAAACACTATCAGGGGAGAACAATGCATGTGAATATAAAGGAGAGCACAATAAGGACCACGGGGCTGGGATCCCAGCCTGGCCACAGCAGGAGGGATGGGGATAGCTGGTGACTGTCACACGCCTTTGGAGCAGGCACAGCTGAACCCACTGCCTGGCTCCTCCACACGCTGCAGGTGATGTCAGGGAACACCAGGCAGGTACAAAATGCTGCTGCCTGGGTGCTGGACAGTCCTTCTCCACTTTGCACCGCTGCCAATGACCACACCAGGGGCTCCCAAAGGAAAACCCACCCAGGCATTCTGGCCTGGGAAAGGAGTTCAGCAGAGCTGCCCAAACCTCAGCCCCGTTCTTCTGGCAATGCAAAGGGAACATCAAGGCATAACTGCCATCATCCTCAAACCAGGAGCAGATAAAAGTGTCTGAAAGTAACTGGTGGAACACAGTGGACATCCCAATCAAGCCCTCGGACGAGGAGGAGTCAGATCCCAGTGATGCCAGTGGCCTGACTGTACCAGCTCCATCCCAACGCCCTGGCACTCACCCAACGTGGCACAACAACGTCCCTGCTGTTACCTGGGGGTGGAAAAGCAGCGGGGAGGGTCGCAGGTACTTCTCCTTTAGGGCACCCACAGGGTCTGTCACCTTCCGCTTCTCCACCCTGCTGGACAACAACACAGAGGGTTACATACCTCACAGGGGCACAGCCAGACCCTCTGCAGGGGGTTCACTCAAACACACAGGGTTATTCTCCTACTGACACAAGTGTCTGCCCTCCCCTTCTACTGGAGACTCCAAATTCTGACCCACAACCACCCTGCAAAAGGCACTGGGAGTCCCACGAGCACGGATCCCCTCCTCTGGGCAGCATTTGTTCAGCCATCAGACTGACGACTAAGAAAATATTTTTCTCTTCTGTAGTGCTTTATAAGCCTCTGCTGCTGTGAAATGTCATGAAACCACTGCATTTACAGCAAAAGCAATGTCTGAGTGGGAGGAGCTCTAGAGTCCACAGCAGGCAGCCCCTGCACGGAAAAGAAATTGTCTTTGAGAGTTTGTATTAATCCAAAGAGTTAACACTGGGCCAGACTTTGCAGCCCCAAGCGTGCTGAAATCATTAGGTGTTTCATATTTATTTCCTCCCTCGCAGCTGAGACATAATTTGCATTGAGTTTCTTTGGTAAGCACGTGTGGACAACAATTTAAAAAGTGAGGAACTGGTGGGAGAGTTCTGAAGCACCTTATAAACCTGAGTTCTTCTGGTTATCACCTTGGGCCACTCAAATATTTCATGTTTAAGCACCTGATATACAGAAATGACCCGAAAGTGAGGCTCCTATTTTTGAAAATACTGGCTTTGCTTTCACAAAATATTCTACTTGCAGGGAAACCGTGGTGTGGAATCACCAAAAAGACAAACTGAAATGTCCTCTGTGGGAAAAAAGTGTTATGGAAGTAGCTCCAACAAACACAGCTGCTTCTTTAAATGTCTGGAATTGAGTCCATCCAGCTCAAACAGCAGAAATCCAAGAGTAAGAGTAATTTTAACATTAGTCCAGCATAAATGAGAGCAAATTATTTTGCTGCATTTCAGCTGATTGGTGCATGGATCAAATTACCAAAGAGTTTAAAGAAGAGCCCTGCAGAGTGCAGTCAGTGAACTGTACTTAATCTGCATTTAATTCTTCTTGGGCAGAGGGAGAGAGAAGAGCTGGGTTGGAAATGCCATCCAAGCTACGGGGCTTTGGAAGGTATGTGCTTTTATGGGCATGAGCTGTCAGAAAACAACAATCTGTCAAAGGATATGTAAAAAGTTGCTCCCTGGGACCCCCACCCAGCCCAACTTTGCCCTCCCTGGGGCTGTGACGCCCAAGGGAACATCCCTGACCCCGGCAGAGGCGTCTGCAGAGAGCCCTGCCTGCCCACAGGCATAAAATTGGGTGGATTGACAGCGTTGCACCGGCTTTACCATCTCCCAGCACTGGGAATGAGAGCACAGCAAGGCCCTCACAGCCTCGTCAGAGCCGAGTTCCGCAGCGCCCGCAGGGTTAAAGCCACTCCTCTCAGCCCAGTGCCTGAGAACGGCACCTTCACAGGCCCAGCTCACAACTGCCCCATTTCAGGCTGTCTGGCTGCATTAAATTATATCACCAGGAGAAAATGTCAAGGATTTAAGTGGCCTTTGGGAGAAAAACGAAGGAGCCAAATGATGTGAGAGAGTCTGATAAAGGGAAGTTTAGAAACAAAATATTTCCATGTTTTTCAAGCTGGGACTTGGAAGCTGGGCTGTTTAGCTCATTACATCACAAGTCTGATTCGCCAGCAGCCCCACCGCTGACTTTCTATTTTAACACATTACTAAAACTATGTGCATCCCGTGGAATGCAACAAATGATGCCCCCATCCTTCACTTCCATCTGTCTTCTGGACCTTTACGGTTTTCCCGAGGCTGCTATTTTAATTGGCAGCAGCTTTTCCAGCCCATGTTATTTAAACATTCCTGCTGATAATGCCCAGGGGTGGCAGGATCCAACGTGAATGCTTTGGCCTTTCTATCCCATTTATTGATTTTATTTTTTTTTTCCCAGGAGTAATTTTTACAAAAACAAATGCTAGACTGTTTGTATCCTGACTGATTTCTCCAGGAGGAGATGGGAGATGGCCACGGTGGGTCCCAGGCAGGACACGGCCCCTCCTGGGCTGGGATGCAGCGTTTCCATCACAGATGGCACACAGGCAGTGCTGCATCACCCCCCAGCTGGCAGAGCCAGCACCCAGGGCTCACTGATCCCAGCCCAGCAGCTCCTTGGCCTGGCCAGACACTGACATCACCTCTCCCCCCAGTTATCAGCTGAAGGCAGCAGCCTCAGCGACACTGGGGACGTTCTGCTGTTGTTTGCAGCCCTTTGAATGCTCAAGTGAGCCATCCTGGTGCTGACACGTCACGCCGTGGTGACTCTGAGGCTTTCCAGCACCAGGAGAACACCAGCTCCTGCAGCACATCCCTGAACCTTCCAGCAGGCTGGACACAGGGAGGATCACTAGGCACACAGTTCACATACAGCCCAAGGGATGCAAGGACAAACCTCCAGGAACCAGCTGGACACTGAATCCAGGAGCCTTCCAGGCCAAACACATGTACCCCAATAGATGACATGAAGCATTTAGACATGTTAATATCTAAGTTAACATTAAGTAATATTTTGACATGCTAATGTCTAAATCAAACTAGTTGAGGACCCTTCTTTTCACTGGGCTTTGCTAAAACCAAACGTGCCACATCCACCTCACCCAGAGCAGGACGACACCAAAGGTGGTGCTGGTGGCCTGGATGGGTGACACACAAATTTGCTGGTACCCTCACCATAAAGCTTCACATCACTTTCCTTTAGAAACAGATTTTTACAAAAATCCCTCAAACAAGAAAAGGCTCAAGTCTTCCCTTTGCAGCTCCTGAATTCGCTCCTTCTGGGAGTTTAACTGGCATTTGGATAACTTCACCCAGCCTGCTCTACACACGCCTTCCACGCTCAGCTCGTTCTAGGCGTGACGTAAGGCATCAGGCCCTCCTCAAAACCCATCTGTTCAAGTGACACTAGAAAACCCTTGCTGTCTCCTAAGAAAGAAAAATCTGCAAGGAATGTCTCTGGGAGAGATCCGGGTAGTAACACACTACCATGTGTTTACACAGCACTTGTTACTCCAGGAGTAACAAGTTTCGTCAGACTCGATCTGCAGCAGCAGCTCCTCCGAGCTGAGAAACTCTTAAGAAAAGGCACCAGAAAGAAAAAGGGGGGTGGGAGGAAGAAAGGTGAAGTGGCTCACAAAAGGCCATCAAGTCAGTCAGTGGGAGAGCTGCATTTCCAGGCTCCCAGGGCTCCTGACTCATTCCCAAGCCATGAGAGCCCGGGCTCCGAGGCATCTGAACTCTGCATTCTTATCGAATCAAACCTCTGGAATTTCCCCAGCAGAAGTGCCATCTTAGCGATGGCTCGTGGGAGAGTCCTTAAATAGGTCAAGTTTCTTCTTTATCAAAATAAGGATGTGTTCTTTACACACATTGATTACAAGGGCTCCTCTCAATTACTCTGCCCTTCCCATTCAGGAGATTCAACGTGTTGAGAAGCACAAACACCCACAGCAGGAGTTCCCTGCTCCTTCCAAACAACCTACATCCCCACCTGCCTCAAGGTGTGATGTCAACTAGAAAATGAGCTGGTCAGAGAAAGGCTTAAGGCAGGGTATGTTAATACCTGTAGATGGGGTCCATGAAAAAGGGCGATGGCTTAGCGTAGTGCAGGGATGGCTGCTGAGGCAGCTGAGACTGGGAAATCTTGGGTAAGACTTCACTTGCCATCAGCTTCCTCTCCCCATAAATGTGGTTTTTCCGTGGCTCTCTTCCTCCGTTCTGGCTGGCTCGGATGCGGTTGCCAATGCTCAGATCCAGTGGCTGTTCCTCCCCCGAGGACGGGGCTGGCAGGACCTTCGGGGGCGGCAGGATTGGCTTAATCTCTTTTGGCTTCGTGGTGAGATCGAAGGGGGACTCTGAGCTGGTGCTGCCTACTTTGTGGAGGTCCCTGGGTGACTTTGGTTCTGCCTTGACCAGCAAGTTGTGATTGAGGGTCCGCTCCGTGAAAGGGTAGAGGGAATGGGGGAAATTGGGGAGGAACTGAAAAGGGAACATGGAATGATAGGGGAGCGAACCCATCTTTTTCTCCTGCATCCCCATAAAGCCAGGCCCAAAATACTTCTCTGCGATGGAGGCGATGGCTTTGATGGAGTCATTGGCTGCTCCCGTGGTGGGCAGCAGGTGCTCCTCGGGGGGAGGAAAGAAGGAATGCTGAGAATAGAAGAGAGGGATCTCGCTGGCGGTGTTGGTGGAACTCGCAGACACGGAGCTGCTGACGAAATCTGGCTTGGTCTCCATTTGTTTGCTCTTGTCCTTTGCTTTGTCCCTGTCGCTCTCTGCGTCACTGTCCAGGTCAGATCCCGTGCCAGTAGTGGTGTCCAGGTCCGTGCCCGTGGTCGTATTGACATCCTCAAAGTCACTGCCATCGGACATGTCACTGTTCCTGGCTTTTAGCTTCTCCAGGTAGGAGTTTTCCAGGCTGCTTTCACATTTCTCCTCCCCAGAGGGGGCCTGGTTGCTGTTGCTCACCGCGGAGATCAGCGGCAGCGCCGGGTTCCCGAGGGGGCTGGGGAGCTTCGCGTCCGGAGTGTGGTTGAGGGGACTTTTGAGCAGTTGTGTGGGCGGTAACAAGGGGGGCCTGGGGTATAGAGAGGGTGGGAAAATGCCCGGGAATCCCGGGGTGAGGGCGGGAAAGGCCGGGGGGGCAGGTGAGAACGGGAGGCCCCCGGGGTGCGGGCGGGACGGGAAATAATCGTTAAACCCCAGGCTGGCGTGGTTGAGGTTGGGAGAGGGCTTGGACTTGTCCATCATGGAGGTGGGCGTCAGGGGCAGGCCGGGGGCGAAGATGCCGCCGGGGCTGTAATGGTTCTTGCCCTCGCAGAAGCGGCGGTGCTTGTTGAGGGAGGAGGTAGTGCTGAACATCTGCCCGCAGTCCTTGCACTTGATCTGCGTGCGGCAGTCCGCGTGCATCCGCTTGTGGCGGCACAGGTTGGAGAACTGCGTGTAGGATTTGTGACAGACCTCACCTAAAGCGTCAACAGGAACCAACAACAAAAGCGATATGAAATTACCAGGAAATGGCTCCGGGAGCTCCCCCAGCCTCCCCCATCCCGGGATCCCCCTTCCCCGGAGCCAGAGCAGCAAGAGCAGCTGAGGGGCCAGCTCAGGGAGCCCACCCGGGATAAATCCCATCCCAGGGACTGCCTCAACAAGCAGCTCCACAGAAACCCGAGGGGATGTGCTACTCCTGATCAAATTTTGGGGGAATTTTCAGTAAAGATGATTGTGGAATCCCAGAATGGTTTGGGTTGGAGGGAACCTTAAAGCTCATCCAGTGCCACCCCCTGCCATGGGCAGGGACACCTTCCACCAGTCCAGGTTGCTCCAAGCCCCCTCCAACCTGGCCTTGGACACTTCCAGGGATGGGGCAGCCACAGCTTCTCTGGGCAACTTGTGCCAGGGCCTCCCCACCCTCACAGGGAAGAATTTCTTCCTAACATCCAACCTAAATTTCCAAGCGAAGCTACATCAGCATTCTCTTTAACACCCTGCAAATACCAAGCTTTCAAAGCGTGGATTTTTATGACCCCTTTCACCTACAGACTTTGCTGGTGTGGGAGGAGCAGGGCAAAGTGAGACAAAATTCCCACCCAAACTCTTCTATACATCAAAACGCTGTAACTTTTCATGATCTGGTGCCTCTTTCAACAGAGGAATAAATCCCGTGTGGTGGTGAAGGAACACGCTCCTGCCACCGGAGAACTGCTGTTATCACCCTTTGTGAGCGTGGAAACGGAGACAAAGAGGGGGGAGGACATTGTTTGGAGCTGGGCAGGCAAGGACACGAATCCCAGCTCTCCTGACACCCAGTCCTACCACTCAGGGACCAACTACGTGCTCCTTTCCTCCTCCCTCCCTCCCAGCTTTACTGACAGGTAAAAGAGAGCACGATTTTCCCTGGTTTTTTTTCTAAATTTTTAGGATTTCCATCAGTGCTTGACTATCAAATGACTGGTGACAGAGTTGTTTCACCAGCAGCTCTGAAAACATAATAATATAATAAATTTTAATTCAAGTTCAAAGCAGAGATTAATAAAATTTAACAAATTCGCCATTTCAGTTCAGATGAGCATCCCAAAATCCTGTGGACTGTCACTAAAGAGGCTGGTTTCTGATTGCACTGGAAATTTAATCTGAACTGTCTTCCTGGAATTGTTCAAAAAACATGGGGATGTGGCATTTGGGGACATGGTTTAGTGGTGAACACTGTGCTGGGTTAAAGGTTGGACTTGATGGTCTTAGAGGGTTTTTCCAACTGTAACAATCCTATGATTCCATGATTCTTCCATTTTTCACCCCAGGAATTTTTGCTAGATATATACAATAGTGCACAAAATTCCCTAAAAAAATAGGGAAAACTGGAGAATATCTGTTAAATCTCCAGTTGTACAACGATTTAGTAACTCCTTGTGAAATGTCCTCTCTCGCAGTTAAAAAGTTCTGCAGTTAAAAAGTTGCGGGTTTGGGGTCTTTTTAAAGCCAAATATAATATGGTAAAAACCCAAACAAACACTCACACAGACCCTTTTCTTCCACTGAACGGGAAAGAAAAACTCCTTGGTGGATCCTGCCCCGCGGATCTGAAGTTACTAATGGGTTCCACATTGATCCTGTGACTCCCCCTGGCACCTCTGCCCAGGCAGGATCGCCCTCCGGTTGTTTCACTCACTGACCTGGCCTGACAACTCCCTAATTCTGATGAGGTGAGAGTGAGGAGATTATGGGGAGAAATCCCTCATCTGCTGCAGCAATCCTGAGTCAAATCATCCCTTTCATGTGCCCGTCGCCCAATGAGAGGTGGCAGCAAAATGAGCAAGAAGAGCATTTCTTCTTCCTCCGCTGACACCCGGCTGGTTACTGCGGGACAATTTAATGAAATGGGTCTCCCAGGACAGCCCTGCATGCTGTTCCCATTACAGAACAGGGGAAAAAGGCAGCAGTGGGTTCAGTGCCTTCCCTACCCCAACATCAAAGCCTGGAATCAAACCCAGATCCCGGCCTGTGCCTGAACGACGTGTTCTGAAGTGTCAGGAAGTGATCCCTGAAGTTCCTGGAGCTTTGTTGTGACACAACCACCTTCCTGCTCAGTCATCCAAACCCAATAGGTGCTGTGTCAATTAAAAAAATATACAACCCTGGGAATGACAAGGAATGAGATGGATGACTCTCCAAGGAAAATGCCCTTCTGGAAATATCCCGCTAAGGAGAGCACTGAGGACACAGTTAATCTGCTGTTTATTTGGCTTCCAGCACTATCTAGATGAAACATGCAGTAAATAAAGAAGAAAAAACCTCTTTTTAAAAAACACCTTCTCAGTCTCTGTGACTACTCCAAGTTCTTTACAATGGATTTGAGGCATTCCCAAAAAACATTTCAACCAGGCCGTGTCAGCAATTTATCTGTGTCACTAAAGGGAACATTCGAAAATTACCAAGGCAAAAAAAGACGAGAGAGAGAAAAGATATGAGAAAGTGGGATCGCTGAGAGACTCAGCTCTCAACTCCTCAAGAAAGTCAAAAACTGCCACCAATGTTTACTGAAAAAACAGGGAGCACACAAAAAATAAAAAATAAATTAAAAAAAAAAAAAGAGAAATCCCAGAGGAATTTCATCTGGAGCAGCTCCGAG